TGTCTCAATTCACTGCTCGAGAGATAGTCTTAACTTATAGTAGAGTTTTTGTGTCATTAATAAAATGAAATTCAATTTTCACTTCAATTTCCATATTCATTGAACTCCACCTCTAGTGACACAACATTCAAATTCAGTGACTTTTTCGGTCGCACAGGGAGTTCGTCGGATACACTGTATATGGCATCGGTGTGGGAGAAGGAATGGGAGGAATGGGAGGAATGGTATGAAAGAGTAGTGTATCACTGATTACTTAAATGTCAAATTTATAGTGTATTTTCAATAATGTTTTCTTTACTCCAATGCATTCCACACTCAATATAATTATACATTTCATGTATTTTCGAGTATTTATCGTGAAATTCTTAACGAAATAAATCAAAACACATATAAACATATGGATTGCTAACAAAACATCACAAAAATGGTGTTCACATTTAACATTTAACTAATTTAAATTAGTATTAAATGGGTTTGACAAATAAAGCCTAATTTGTAATTAAGCTTTTTTCTCATTCAACTCTAAAATAGTTATTAATGAAAATGATATCTAATTTAATGTGAAAATGTCTGTTAATCCCAGTGAATGAGCAATGTTTCCAAAAACTGATTGATTGGAAAGAATGAAATGTATTTCACTCTTATGGATACAAAAATGTCTTTTTAGTGTGTCTTTTGTTTTATTGATTGCATTCAAGCGCTTAAAACAAATATATTTTTCGCTGAAAATTCTTTTCCCGAAAAAAACACTTTTAAAAGGAATGCGAGAAAAGGGTTTTTGCGAGGATTTAAAGCCCGCAACAAAATATATAATAAATTTTTGCCAAAAGTTATATTCCTCTCAAAAGATTTATCGTTTTGTTTCATCTATACATCTATACATCCACCTTAAAAACACATACAAAATGTATGTTTGTCTAATATTTATTGAAATTTAAGTAAACATTCAAATGATTTATGCAGTCATTAATGGATTATTGAATTATTTTCAAAGTTATTTATTCTTAAGCCTGACTTTAATTATTCGTTTCAAGACTTTTATTTTTCTCCCAAAAATACTTGTTGTTAAAGTGGAGAAAATGAGTGCAAAAACAGCATAATAATAGACCTGAAAAATATCATTAAATTAACTCATATATGATAATATAGTAATCAGTTTGCGATGTCTTTTCAACAGTAAAAATCTCAAAACGTAAGACATATGCAAAGCATTTGTCTTATGAAATGTCATTCATTATACTCAACAGTCATTTACAGTGTTTTGTGTATATTTAATGATAAAAATAACATAATTTTGTTGAGAATTTCTTTTTCAATTTTCGCTTTAAATTCAAAACCAAAACACATAGAGAAACCTTTTTTTTAAAAGTCTTAAAAATAATAATAACACTTTTTGAAACTTTCTCTGACTAAATTTAAATGTATTTATATTTGACTTTACTTTAAGTTTTGTTTTGATAACGATATTAAGAATCTGACAAAATTCTTGTGTAAATAGGAGTTAAACATTTGCAAAAGAAATATAAAAATATTGTCATATACTGTAATACACTGTAATTGGCAGTACAGTACAGAATATAAATAATGCAAATTCTTGGAAAAGTGTGGAATGAAATAAAAACTGTTTTAATAGTGAATAACAATAAGAAAATATATAATTTTATATAAATTTGTTATTTAAGTGTAATGACGTGAATAGAGAGGTGAAAAACATTACAGTATTAATAAATGAAATCATATTTGATATTCACGACATGTTATGGCTCTAAAAATTCTTGTCTTACTTTTATTCTGGTTTATTAACATATTATATTATATATATTTAACATTAGTGCTACCGGTAGATATAAACTGAATTTTCAACAAATAATACTCCATAGCATACACATCATCAGTATATTTGGTTTAAGTTAAAAGCATTTTAATTAAAAATAAAACTGAGAAATATTAGTAAACAACAAATTAGATGTGTTCATGTTAGGGATATGTTATATTCTTAATGAATTTATTTTTAGCACTCAATATTCAATAGAATTTTAAATAAACACTCTAATAATTAGATTTTTAAATTTAATCATACAAATACTATTTATTTAAATATTGTACGATAAAAATAGCTTAATTATATAATTAATTTTAGTATCATTACTTATAGCATATGAAATTTTAACATTATACTGATTATATTTTAATCTTTTGTTTTAAACTCATGTAAACTTTTAAAATTATTTTTCATTTCTAAAATTACTCCCTAATCATTAAATAATCAATTATAGATTAATTTCTAACCGGCTTACATCCCTACTAATCATATTATTATATAAATGATTATATCATATGAATTGATACACATATGGCTTTGCCTATGCGTGTGTACGTATAGTAAATTAATAAGTAGATAGCGAGTGGACATACCTAATAAAGTCCTGGCCTGGAGTGTCACACATCCGGTGTGTATGTATTCAATGAGTTGCCGAAAGACGTCGGGCTCGAACTCCTCGATAATCATAGTCTGATGGGTTTGCACGGAAGGCTGTCCACCACAACACCATCACATGTATCAACATTTCATTCAAATAAAAGTCTCACATGAATACAGAATATACAGTAATCTTATAATATATAGATCTATTGCATTGGTGTATATAAATGGTGTTCACTATCTATAATAGCGCGGTGTTCACTATATATAATTTAATGAACATATTTTATATGATTAATATAGTGCTGGCAAAAGGAAAAGGGAAAACAAAATTATATAAGTTTTTGATGAATGAAAGCAAATAATTAGATAACAGATATATTCAATATTGAAGGGCCAATAGAGTGGTTATTCTGTAATTATATCCGCGACTAAATCAATCACAAAACCCGGTACTGCTATTACTAACATCCATTCACTCTCGTATTTATCTGTAATTACAGGTGTTTTCTAGTCTTTAGTTATACGAGAATATAATAGAGAGAGAGAGGGAGGGAGAGAGAGAGAGAGAGGAGAGAGAGAGAGAGAGAGAGAGAAATCCTAAAAATCATATAATGTTTGAGTTATTTTTCGGCAAATTCTTGAGCAAATAAATTGATTTCACATATGCTTTATGTACTTCTTTATGAAATTTTAATTAAATTTCGTTGTATTTCTTACAATTTATGATAAGACTATTTAATGTCAAGGAGTACATCATATTAGAAATATGTATAAATATTTATTCAGGCATTATATTTAGTCCCTTTAATCATATATCCCATCGCCTAACCCATACTGTCTGCGCTTACGTCACATTTGGATTAAATTAATATAAACACTGTTTTTGGGTTTGCATTAGAGCTCGAGAATTGCAATTAAGTCTCGGATTGAGAGCTAAAAATCTAAATACAAATTGAAAATCACTGCTTAAACTGCATATTATTTTGCTATTTATTTAACGATTGAAAAGAAATTATATTTAAAAGAGTTGCCAAAAAATATGCACAAAATTGATTTACAAATGAAAAGTGAAAATAATTAAACCAAACGCACAAAAAGGCAGAGATTTTTTGAAACACAAATTTCTGTCGACAACTTGAAAGCAAACCAAATGAATATATAGTGAGAAAATGTGTGGACAGACCTGTTGTTGATTAAAAGGCAATCCATTTAAGATGGGTTCTGACGATCGTTTGAGAAATAGTTTTAATTTCGTGTCTTTTGGCGATTCTTTCTTCTTGGCTATCGTTTCCTTTGCGTTACCACTCCCTGTACTACCGGTGCCGGGGATTTGGTGCTGCTTTTGGCCATAAAGTAATTTATGAAACACTCTGAAAATGTAAGGCAAGAGAAAGATTGAGTGAGAATTACGGCAACAAAAAGCTGAATAAAAGCTAAAATTGTGTAAAAGTATAATAAAAGAGAGGAATATATTTGTGAAGAAGTTTTGGGTGAAAATTGGATTATATTTATTGCATATAAAACATTGTTATATACGACTACAACAACTTTAAATATCTTTTTAAAAGCCCTTATATTGAAAGTCTGTTCAGTCAACACAAGTATCTGTTAAGGGCTTTATTCTTACGGTAAAAGTGCTAAACATATTCATTCATTGCGTTTAATACAAACTTTCATATAACCTTTTAGTTCAAATTACAATAGCTTTTATTATGTTCAGTCAACACAAGTATCTGTTAAGGGCTTTATTCTTACGGTAAAAGTGCTAAACATATTCATTCATTGCGTTTAATACAAACTTTCATATAACCTTTTAGTTCAAATTACAATAGCTTTTATTTTACAAAATCATGGCTAACATGTTCATGCAGACATATTTTAATTAGTAATTTTAATTATATTTATAAAAATATTTTTCTAATTTTAAATTACTACATTTATAAATTACATAATATAACAAATAAAAAATAATTCAAGTATTAATTTGAATTTCAACATACTCGCATTATTCATATATTTTATATTATATACGTTAAGAATATCATGAAAGGGAAATGCTTGATAATAAATATACGTATGCTTGATAATAAATATATCTGTATATCTTATTTATCATTTCATGGACTTCTTATGTGAAAGGGAAGCATTCAGTAGTTTTCCAATTCATACGAATAGTGTAAGTCATTCATTGAACATATAATTTATTATTCACTACTCTGTAACGACTGGTGTGTTATCAACTAATTAGCATAAAATACAAACACATAATCCACATAAATATGGTTCAAATGATTACCTGCTCCGCGCCGCCAATACAGCCTTCACAGCACACACAGGCTCCCGGGTCTCGCCTCCAACCACATCAACATAATTGTAATTAATGTCAAATCAATATACGGCACGTTTCAGACACACATTTCTTAGTTTATCACTATTTTTATTAACATTATATTTTAATCATCAAACGGTAAGGGATTATCAATTAAACAATGACTTTGTCAATGAAATGATAGATTCAATGGTAAACCCTTTTGAACCCATAATACTTGAGTTTAGATCTAATAAACTATTTTAAATCTCCACTATTTTGAGTGCTAAAGGATTATTATATATTTTAGTTTCAATTATAAATCACTTGAAAAGTATTTAATTAACTAATTTATTTTTAGTCTAATAGGAATGAATTAAAAGATTATTTAAATTTATTAAATGTGCACAAAAGTCAAAAATAATCAAGCTAATAATCTATGATCTAATTTATGCTATTTATTTATTTAATTAACTAATTTATTTTTAGTCTAATAGGAATGAATTAAAAGATTATTTAAATTTATTAAATGTGCACAAAAGTCAAAAATAATCAAGCTAATAATCTATGATCTAATTTATGCTATTTATTTATTTAACTAAAATAAAATTTTATCCAAATTTAAATTTATGTATTATTTCACATAAATAATTATAAAAATAAACTTATATCAAACTTTAAACTACTTATTAATTTCGACTAAATATATCCAGCTATAAATACACGAATTATTAGCTAGAACAAAATGTGTGTGAAGTGGTGTCCAAATGGATGATACAGTTGAAGGGAAAGGCATGCTTACCGACGAGGAAGGTGATGTCGCAGAGTTCAGGCATTGAGGCCAAGAATTTCATGTCTTCCGCGAGACCCGTCCTGTTCTCATACATGGAGTAGTCATTGAAGTCCTGGGCCTCATCGACATCGATGTCCAGCACATCCAAGTCGAACAAATTGGTGTCAACTTCGGAGTCGTGACAGTCTTTGTACTGTTCATAGTGTTGGGCCAAATCGGTGGGCAAACCAATCGCCACCAATTCGTCTGACATATCCCCTCAACTGATTCACGCAAACCAGTCGTCTCTACGTCTGAGAGACTGACTGACGGTGTGATGACTGCAGAGCGACGGCTCGACGTCTCCGTACAGCTCTCATCCAAACCATCCAAACGCACCATTCAGTCAACAAAACACACATTTTTTCTCTTAATTATCACTTAATTGACTACTTTTTCGACGGCAGACACCGTCAGCTACAGGCCGACTGTCTTCATAATTGTGATAAATATGTGGTCAAAGATGTGCCGTTAGGCCTACGATCGCCAGTTAGGTGTGAAGTGTTAGGCCATCATCTGGTGGTTTCAATGATCATAGTCTACAGCACTCTTTGGTAGTAGTCATGGAAACCAGTATTGAATCGGTCGTCGAGTTGATGTCGATTTGATTGTATTTAAAGCACAGCAAATGTACTCTTATAGTCACTACACCTTACATTCACTGCATATTCACAAATATACGCTCAATTGTCTTGTGTAACAGTTTTGTTAACATTTAATTAAAATTAATTCCTTACAATACAGTCAACTAAATAGCAATCATTGAAACAATTATTGTTTATATAAAGAACGAGAATTGCATTTCAATTGACAACAAAATCTATTGACTGCTAGAAGTGAGGATAGAGTTGAGGCTCAACTGGAAAATGGGTTAAACTTAGGGATAATAGAAAAACATTTATGATTAAAATCTATATTAAAGATATGTTACACTCGGGAAATAACTTCTCAATTAAGTGCATCAATAGGAGTACTCTATTTATAAAACACTATTCAATTCTATTTATATTATAAATAAAAGGCATATAATGGGTGAGTGAGTGAGGGAGGGAGGGTAGGGAAAGGGAGAGAGAGAGACACTGAAAGAGTAATATGCAAACACTCTTAATAATTATAATTTAATTACCAAATATTAAATCAAAAGAGTGTTAAATCGGAAAAAGAGACAAATGATTAGAATTAGGATTACATATAAAATAATGAATTATATTTTCATTCCTTATAATTGTGTAGAGATGTAGAAGTGATGGTCAGAAGCTCTGCTCATTTACCATACGATCCTCTCTGACAATGGATTCAGTGAAATGTCTGAGTATATGATTATGAGTTCCGCAATTGAGTCGCTTCTTATATGCCATTCCCTTATATCTAAATAGCAAATAATATCTGCAATTCCTACTCACTATCTGTATGTGAATTATTTCTTTTGAATCTTATTATAAAAATTTGTTGAACCGATCACTTGTGCCATTCATTTCCCCAAATCTGTTAACGCCTAACAGAATGCTCTAAGAAATGATCATTTTTTCTCTCCTTTTCTTACTCTATGGGCAATAGACGAGTATCTCTGGGATTATGTGAACATTACTACTGACCTGACCCTCATTGCATCGGTTGACGATATTTCCACATATTATTTGTCTATTTGAATGACAATAGGTATATAAGACATGTTTCCTTATATGCAGTACTCTATGGACGCAAAGGTCTTTGAACTGCAGACACAGAATATTTTTAAAACAATTAATTTTAATTACTATGAAATGCATTACTGGTCGACAAAACAAAACAATAAAAACAGTTATAATATCAGTCGGCATTTGAATCCATCTCTCTCTCTCTCTCTCTCTCTCTCTCTCTCTCATCCATTTGTTAAATGAAATTTTATAAATAAGTTAAATCATTATTATAAACAAAGAATAAGTAAACAACAACATTTTTATTTAATTTAAATTATTTATTTATTTAAATTTTTAACCCTTTTTACAATTTATATGGATTTACGAGAAATCAACATATTAAAAATTTAATTTGTAATCCGTGTTAAATATTATAAATTACACTGGATTCTTTCATTGTTAATTATTAATACAAAATAATTACAAAATAATTTAAGCTGACATAATACATAAATATATTTAGTATATTTTAGTTATTTAAATAATTAATTATATTAATTTTAATATATTAATATTAACTTATACGGTATTTTATTATATAAACAATTCCTTGGTATATAATATATCGATATCTCTTAATCATAATAACTATGAATACATCTTAATAATTTTAAGATATTTTAAAAATTTACTTTATTTACAAAAAATAAAATATTTTATATGAAAATCAAAGTCTGTGTAAATAGTGTAGAGTTTGTGAAAATTAGCATAAATATGAACTTAAATAGCATTTTATAAAAATGTGATATTTTTGTTGAGTTTTATTTTCATATAAAAATTTATAAATATTATAATAAATTCAAAGGAACTTTATGTATAAAAATATGTAAATAATAGAAAAGATTTAAAAATTATATGTTTCGCCATTGAATATGTTGTGTTAAATAGAGCCGAAATATTTTAATATTTAATTTAAATTCAAACTCTAAATAAAAATAAAGAGCAAAACGAGATGAAGAGTAAGCTATGAGTGTCTGTCTATGTGTGTGTGTGTGTGTGTGTGTGTGTGGTCAAAGATGTGCCGTTAGGCCTACGATCGCCAGTTAGGTGTGAAGTGTTAGGCCATCATCTGGTGGTTTCAATGATCATAGTCTACAGCACTCTTTGGTAGTAGTCATGGAAACCAGTATTG